AACTAACACCAGCCAACCTAGAGAGTTTTGTTTCCCATTAACCAGCTACATAAATCTTACTTATCTCGATACTCCCGACTGCCCCAGATGCATGGCAAAGCTGCTAAGCCTTCTTCAAAACTACTTTTGTCAGCATGAAAATTCACTGTTGACATTTTAACATTAAACAATATCACAGGTGGAACAGGGCAGCACTTTTTTTGGAGCTGTCCTGGAAACGGGCAAAACTTCATTTTGTAGCGGGCTTGGAGCATCCACACAGACGTTTTAGAACGGGCTTGAAACACTTGGAAAGGTGGTTTCGAGCTAGTTTGGAGCAGTCAGAAACAACGTTGAGATCAGATGTAGCCCCATGTCACAGTATCTGTGAAGCAAGGTTTCTCCAATGCTGCATTCTTCAAACTCCAAGCTGAATTCATGCAATAGTCTCATTATTCCATTAGAAATTACGTGAACAATCAGCGGGTTTTTGCCGTTGCCATCATGCCTGTATAGAGAAATTGATAGCATACGTCCGCACGACGTGTTTTTACCCCGGAGTAAAAACCCGCCAGCGGGCGCCACGAACGAGGCTGAAACAGGAATCAAACAAACCAGCCCATCTCCATTGCTCGCAGTGCGCATGCGATAACGTTAACCCACACTGAAGGCTCCTGTTGAAGCAGAGAGCAAACGTCACTCCTGTCCTAAATGAACATGAAAAGATACGAGGGGAGTAAGATTGTTGCTCGAGCAGCAACTGCGAACTTTGCTTCTAAAGGCGTGGTCACTGGTGCAAGCGCTAGCTCTGCAGCTGTCAGTGGGCAGCTCTAATGCACAATGGCACAGCTGTTCAACCCCTGCAATACTAAAACTAAAACATTGGTTCAAACATGCTGACCATGCATATACTATAGGTAGCAGGAGAAATGCCTCTACGGAAACATGTAGTGTGGTTGTACTGTGCGAGATATTAAGGGCAAAGCTCCTTAAAGCGTGGGTCTGTATACCATCCAAGGTATGTACAGTCAAGCCTCAATATATCGAACACGGATATATCGAATTATTGCCTATATCGAACGGTTCCTATATCACGCGGGAAATCGCATGCATTATTGATTTTTTATTTCAAACAAAGTTTGACATATAATGGATATATCGAACTCAGCCACCCTAAACCGCCCGTGCTCCATTGACAGGCGGCATATTTCCCGCAACTCTCGAAAGTAGCGGTAGAGCGGCGGGCGTTTACGAATGCTGCACACATCGATGGCGCCGAGAGCGCCCCTTTAACGTAGTGGCGTACGCGCACTGCAGCCTTGCGGTAGAGGTTCTTGAATGAGGAAAGTGGAGAGAAAAGCGCGGAGCTGTTATTGTCTTTCGATACGAAGGCACCGACACGGCTTCGCGCGGGGGAAGGGGGAGTGGGAGTTAAAGATTGAGGAGGAAAGTATAGGAAGGAAAGGATGCAGACGGCTGTCTCGGACGCAGCCCGCGCTGCCGCCGGGAAAGGGAAAACAGTCAGGTGAGCCAGCATGGGCGCGCCATGTGCGGGCTTTACACCCGGACTCATGCCGCAGCCTTGCAGCTTGCAGTCGTCAACGGCACACTGCGCACTTGTTGCAAGCTCCTCCCCCGTAGCATCGGCCGGCATCGGTGGTTGTGCTCGTAGTGTTCGTGCATTCGGAGTTAGACCTGTCGCGCGCTGTGGTGCGCGACAGGCCTAACTCCGAACGGCGGAGCTCACGGCAGAGCTCACGGATGTGGAGATTGTCGCCGAAGCTACTGCCGAGCAGCCAAATGAAGGCTCTGCCGAGGTGGATCCCGCAAGCGCTGATGGTGCCCCGCTCCCGACATCAGCTGAGGTCGTAGCTGCCTTGGCCCTTGTGCGCCGCAACTGCGGTGCGATTGAAGGCACCGGCCTATCACTTATGGATCGCCTGGACTATATTGAGGACGCAGTCGTCAAACACGCCATGGCCAACAAAAAGCAGGCTACTCTTTTTCAATATTTTAAACCAACACAATAAATACTATGCTTGAATCTTCAAGTGAGTATTTACTACATCATGCTAGAACGGTTCGTTGGTTGTTTTCAGCAAGCTGTTGATGCATTTTTTTCGTGATTTTTTTATATCGAATTCTGGATATATCGAACTATTTCACGATCACCGCGCCGTTCGATATATCGAGGTTCGACTGTAGTAGTAGTAGTAGGTAGCCACCAAAGGCTCATACTCGCTCTAGAGCAGGTATGTGCTTGTGTTGAGTGCAGTGCACGTGTTATGTGATGTGCGAGCGAAAGAGCAGCAGTTCTCCGACGTGAGATGTAATAGAAGATGACAATGTCGGCTGTGCTGGTGCGAAACCACATGAATATGACGAGAGATGAGAAGCGAGGAAAAAGACAAACAAGCAGTACACATACATAAAAAAAAAAAAAAGAGCCAGCGAAGACGATGACGATGAAGAGAGGCACGAGGGTGCTACCTCAACAACAGAAGAGCAAAGTAGCCCAATCGGGAGCTACCACGGAGGTTTGAGGGGTCAATCACTTGTTGACGCGGCAACCCAGAGAATTCCAATGGGAAGCCGACGAGTCTACAGGTGAGTGCCACGGCAGACGACAAGGGGCTCTTAGTTTGGGCAGAAACAGGGTGGTGGCAGCTAGCCAGCGACATGGTCGTGGTTTTGCCCCGAGTGCCTGGCAGAGGTCAAGAGACAGAGCGGGCTGCTTCGCTTGACCTCAAGCTTCGACGGTCCCCGAAGCCAGCGGGAAGCTACCGCAGCCACCAGGCCCACTGTCGGGCATTAGCCCGAGTGCTTGGCTGTGGCCCCTCGTCTGCGCGTCCAAGAAGACTACCTGCCTTCGACGGCCCCGTGTTTGGCACTTACCTGCTCTGTCGTGTCCTCATCCGAGCGTCGCCCTGCTCTTCACCGGATCCCTCGGGCGACGGCCGCTCCTTGCATGTATCTGTTCGCCGTAGATGTCTGCCACACCTCAGCATACTATCACTCGCTAGTGAGACTTTCAGTTACGGTTGGACTAGACTGGTTTTCGTGACTTAGAGGTCTGTACATAGGCGTTAAGATGTTTTATTTCTATTAGTGCATGTTGTGCGTTTCATGTTCGTGGGTTCTTTTCATAAAGTGGGAAAAACAATACAGCCTCGCCTTTTAGGGGCGAAGCTCCTAAAAGGCGAGGCGGCACCCGTTCATCCCTCGTCGTAGTACGTAACATGTCTTACGCTTTGACCTGCAAGGTGGTGCCGGTGGGAGATTTCTCCAGTGCGTTGCTGAACAATAAAAATTCGCAGCGTGTGTTAACTAAAAGCCGAATTCTCCTGTCACTCATTCCCCATTAGCAGCTATTGGCATGTACATTGAGCACTATCTCACAAGAAAGGGCTGCTATGTTATACTCGCTGGGCGTAACTATTTGATTTTAGAAAGGTTTAGCGAGCGTTGGGCCGCAGTGCCACGAATACAGTGAACTAGTATATACCATGAACTCGAGGTGGTTAAAGGTCGGAAGTAGACACAAAGCTCAAGTCGTAAAAAAGTGTGGGTGTCCAACCTCTCGTTTAGTCCTTGGAATGTCCGCTGGATGGCAGTGCTTCTATATGCAGAATATATGATGAAAAGATGCGAGATGGTGGTACTTGGAGTGTTGCCAAGATGGACAAACGGCCACACAGACAGATGCATAGACGGACGCACGGAGTGCTGCACAGATGGATGGACGCATGGACGGGCGCAGGGGCGGATGCATGGACGAACGCAGGAACGTATGCACGAACAGACGCATGCACGAACGGGTGGATGGACGCACGGATGGTCACACAGGCGTCCGGACGCATGGACGGACGGAAGCAAAAACGAATGGACGGACGGATGCTTCGCCGCACTTTCCATCATTCATCCCGTAGATATGCTGCCATTTTTTTTATTGAGAGCATTGCTGTCGCAGACGCGTCTACTTATAAAGAAAGAACTCCATCACAGTGCCACAGGGGATACAAGATGGGAGATTGCAGTACTAGTACTTATAGTGTTCACTAGATGGATGCACGAACGGACAGACAGACTAGCAGATGGACAAATGAAAAGACGTACGAACAGACAAACAGACGGATGACCGGACTCACGGACGGACAGATGGATGACCGGACTCGGGGACGGACAGGCGGATGAACGCACGAATGGTCGTGCGGACGGACGGAAGCAAGAGCGAATGGACGGACGCTTCGCCCCACTCATCATCATTCACTCCGTAGATATGCTGTGATTTTTTCACCAAGCTACTATCCCTTGACCTTGGTAACAAGTTTTGCGTACTTTTGCGGTTCTTAATGCATCTGAAAACATACACTTTATGGGGCGTTCGTTCTTGACTCAATAAAACTATCAAGACGCGTTTCCTATACGTTGAGGAATTACAGGAATGGAATTGAACTGGCCGGCCATTCCCAGAGTTACAATGGGGCTAAGTTTTTTCATTCGGAAGAATTCAAAAGGAATGTAACTGCTACAAATTTTATTTCCCTGAAATGAACATGGAAGGGAATGCAGGCACCCATTCTGCAACACTGGTTGGAACAAAGCCCTATGCATCCATCGTATCAAATGAGGAGTCGCATGCGCAGATTAATAGTGACCACCAGAAGTGAGGAATGGCACATGGCGTCACACCACATGAACAGCGCAGAGTGTCTGGTTTAAGGATTTGTGCCCATTACCATGGGTCTCAGCCATGACTCATAATCATAAATGGCCACAGAATCTTGGCAGATGAATACTTATGCACACCAGTTGTCCTCATTTGCAGAATCCACTGATTATAAGGAGGGTTGAAATTGTGCAATTGAGCAACACCTCTGTTCAATACATCAGGGTTCCCCTTTCCATACCGAAGTGCAGGAAAGGGTCAAAGGCAAATGTCCGCATGTTACACAGTTGCCATGAGAGCACAGGGCTGCATCCTTTAGAATCCACACAATCTGAAATATTTGCATCCTCACCTGAATTCGAGGAAGGATGATGTCCGCCACACGCTCCTCTCGCAGAAGTTCGTCAATGAACTCATCCATGTGGACAATTACATAAACTGTAAAAAAGAAACGACGCTTTTTAATAATCATGTAAGGAATATTCTCACAAGGAAATCACAGCTCTTACTCATAAAAGCCAAAGGTCACAAAAGTCTGGCAACCAAAATCAAATAGGCTTTCAGTGTTGCCAAAGAGAGTGACGACAAGAGTATTTAGAACTTAGTTGAAACAGCAATGCCACTGCAATAAAGAATCTACAAAAACATGGTTGAAGCACTTCATTCCTTAGCAGGAATAAAAACATTTCACAGTGCATCAGACTCATTATTAAAACTTGAAACATTTGAAGACCAACAGATAGAAAGGAAAATTAGGGAATCTATGCAGTTCATTAATGCTAGCAAGAAGTACACTGAGCACTGAAAATGAATAAAATGCACAAAAAAGGTGGGTTTCCGTGCGAACTGTCATGAATTAGGCATATATTTCCTATCTGGTCATTTTGTGATTTTAATCCTTTTGCTAACAAGTTTTGGGCCAAAAGCTACATAAAAATATCGTTTCTTTTTTTATTTGGCTATTTCATCCAACGTGTCGTAAAAATAGCTTCCAAAAAGGCAAAGGTGAAATTTATTTTTTTAAATATTCCCTTCAATGGCAATGTGCACCATTGTACACATAAACTATGGAGGCACGTTATGCACTCCATGTTTCGTAATATGGCTTGACACGCTTTGTGCACTTCTGTGCAGGCTTGCTGAATGAACAAGTAGTCATCATTTAACTTCACAGGGTGTCTACCAATTATATAGTTCTGAGTTCCCTGACTGTTCCAGGTTTTTCATGATGATTAAAAAGCAAATTCCATGACCGCCACGTCTGCATGGAAAACTCTGTGCACTGTAAACAAACCCTCGAGTAGAAAAAAAAAACAGGCAGTCCATAAAAGTAAACATATTTACTATGTGCACTCAGAATGTTCTGAGTGCTGTTGCGTTTGGCGGGCCACTCTTTTACCGCGGCCGCCAGACTGGAAGAAAGGCAGCCGCCTCCTTTTGTGAAGATAAGGAGCAGCGCCAAGACGCCCTGCTGTTTCCATGAACTGGGCGCTGCCTTGATGAAAGCTGGGGACAGCGTCTAAAGGGGCCCTGAAACACTTTTTCAAGCAACCATGGAATGAATTCACTGGAAGAGCTTATTGCCCCCCGAATTCAACGCTGCAAAAATTTTAAGAATCCGTCCAGTGCGAGTGGAATTACAAACGTTTGTCGCATGCTGCAATTGCATTCTCTCTTCTCTTGTCCTGACAAAAGTGCTGGAAGCTAAGCAGGGAGGAATGGCAGGGCCACAGAAAAACGTCACACGTGCTTGGCGACCTTGAGCACTTTTTTTTCTTCGAATGCGTGGCTTTTTCAGTGCGATTGCATGCATGGAAAAATGGCGGCCACCCACGACGATCTTTAACGAGCGAGCCCGCCATGTTCGAATCAGCCAATAGCTGATAAATGGGTTGTTGACGTGTGATTTTCGGACATACAACGCGATTTGTCGAGAGAAGAGATAGCAAATTTTAGCTGATTTTGATCATTTATTGTGAATTCCAGGCCGCACGCTGTGCCATAATATTTGGCTTGCGTGCTGTCGGGAGCCTCTACTACCAATCGGCAGCATTTTCTGACCATGCTCAAAAAGTGTTGCACGGCCCCTTCAAAGTGCTGAAGTTTGAATATGTGGTGGCAAGATGGAATCTGTCAAGGTGCAACGGCTTCCTTGATTTCACAGATGAATCACGAATGTCGGCATGTTACCTTGATTTACGTACTCTGCTGTGGATGTGACACTAAAAAATGATTGCAGATTTGTTTACACAATCTCACGAAATTGAAATGAAAAATTTACCTGATGTTACCCAAGTGCTACCCTTGAAACACAAGCTACCAGCAATAAGTGTGTAGCTGAGAATGTTTGCTGTTGCATCACTGTCACGGACTGCCATTTTTGCGACCCCGCGTCACGGCAATTCACGGGCGCCGTACTACACCGCTGACCGTAGGAACGGCGGGCCCCTAAAAGAGAGCCGGGAAGAGCAGAATGGGGGGTTCTTCTTCGAACGTCGCCGCCGACGTTAGATCCTTTGTACCTACGGCAGCGTCTGCAGGGTCGTGGAAGGCCGCGTACCCCGAACAAGGTTTAGACTACGGGACGCACCAGCTGAGAGCCAAACAGTCTGACCGTTCCCACGGGAAAACTTCCGATGGCCAAGCCGTATGACAGCACCCTAACAGGTTGTCACTCTCGCTAAGTTGAGGGCCCTCTCCTAATTAAAAAGGGGTCAGGTCAGTATATTTTTTGGGGCGGAGTTTCCAACCATGAAACGCGCATGATTGGACCCATGTAGAGGTCTCTTGTCCCCAAGGAAGAGAGCGAGGGGACACGAGGGGGATTTAAGCGCAGGATTTTGCCCTGCTAGGCAGACTAGTCGCTGACCAACATGGTTTAGAAACAGATCAAGAAGTATCTCTTCTAGAAGTTTTTAGTGTGGCTCTGTATCGGCTGGCCACCTAAACTTAGCCGCTCGTCTAGTTGTGACGCGATATTAACGTCTGCAACGTAGACATCGGGACTTCGCCTCGAGTTAGCTCAACCTGCCCGAGGTCACCTGCAAGCACTAGCCTCCCGGAGCCACCAGCGTTGCAACACCGCCGACATCACATTCGTGCCAGAACTCTCTTCGACTTCTCGCATCCGATCGTCGGGGACGCAACGCTGCCGGTCATCACACGTATGCTTTCACCTGTTTATATCTTCGAACTTTCTCCTCCGTAGTTCTATTGTTGTTAATTTGAGTAGTTTGTAATACTTCTCTCTCGTAGGCTGATTTATTGTTTTTTATAAGTATTTTTTGTTGTATCAAGTGTTGATGTATTTTGTTAGTTGTATTGAAGTGTTGTACTAGATCCCGTGTGCTGCAATATCACTAGAGTAAAGTTTGTTTTGTTTTCTCACGTCTCTGATCTCTTCACTGTCTCTGCTTGCGTACGAAACGAACTAACCTGCTGTCATTCCCGTCGCCGACTTCGCGCTGGCGACGCTAGAGTGGCAGCTTGTAACAATCACTAATAATAACATTAATAATAATAATAATAATAATAATAATAATAATTATTATTATTATTATTATTATTATTATTGTAGTTGTCAAAAGACATGAGTAGCCCAGCAGGCTTCTGCTGATGGCTGTTCTAGCCTAGACAAGCCACATGGCCGTCAAGCCAAGCCGAAATCGTGGCATAGATAAAACATGCATAAATTTACAGATGTGGGTAAAGTTGTACTTCGAAAGTCAGATATGCAATGCGATATGTAGAAGCAACAGACATCAAAATAGTGAATGTGGCAACATGGAAGCTAAAGAATGCTTCAGCCAAGCTGAAGGACAAGTTGCCGAGCAAAAGTTTCCTTGGTCTTGTTTATGCCATAGGCTGCCACAATTTGAAAACCAGTACATCGGTGAAACTGGTAATTTCAAGAAAAGTTAAACAACACAAATATGACACCACAAAACTATGCGTAGCCTCGACTGCCGTCGCTGAACATGCGAAATCACCAAATACACCAAATACACTTGTAAAGCTCCTGTATTCTGGACAAAGAAAACACCTAAATGCTTCTTGGAGTGGTGGGTGTATCCCGCGAATATTGCATAATGTGGTAAGGTTTGGGAATGCTTAATTGTTACTTTGTCTTTCTAATTTGTATCTATTGAATGAAGGAAAAGCGTTGTGGGACACTGTTGGACATTGACAAGTGGTGGGACACTATTGGGTTGTGCCCCACTACTAATTGAAGGTACTGTTGCTTCCATCGCATCTACTCGAAGCAAGCTAAGTGTCAAGCCAAGTGAAAGCGAAATAAGGACGCTTTTGACTCATTTCCGAATGCCCGATCCAGTGCCTACATGTACGGGGTCTTCAGTGAACGGTTGTGCGGCGCGAGCAGTCCGTTTTTACTAGCAGATGCTGCCTGCGTCAGTCTTGCGAGGCGAGAGAGAGGGGGGGGAGCGACAGTTGCCACAAGACATGAGCATGCACAGTAGGGGTGTAGACACCACCGCCAATGCTGAATTTGCTAGTACGTGCGACTATAAAATGCTTCGCATTAAAAAAAGGCTTGCATCATGCCTGCACCATGAATCCAAATACAGACAACTGTATACACGCTGAACAGGAGTGATGGGTGACTTCTTACAATGTACTCTCGCTGTTTACATCCCATATTTATGCGTACTTAGGTACGCTGTGCCTTTTCTTATGGCTTTTATTGTGAAAAAGACTCCCTCCCATAACAGGTAATGAAATGTCAGTAAACTTTGTGTTCTATGGGTCGGTGTATCCTTTCGCATTTACACTATGAAGCAAGAGTGATGCACTGTTTTTTTTTTTTCACAAGCCTTCAAACAGCTCACTGTAGTTGAAGCTGAGAGAGACTTTTTAAGCTTTGATCAATGCTAATGCTTATTTTTGTGATGGTTGCACATAAATGCTGTCAGTTTCCATGACCTGGCCAGGTTTTTCAGAAATTTCCCGACTTTTCCATGACTTCTCCAGAAGGGTCCAAATTCCTGCCTTTTCCTGGATTTCAAGTTTTCCAGACACCCTGCTTCACAGTGCTGCGTGTTGCTGCAGAGGTTCACTTTGCTGGCACCACAACCATGTTTAGTGATCGTTTCACAAGGCAGACTCCAGACTAATGTCAAGAGTATCACTTTATTTGCTCTAAAAAAGAACAACCATGAAAGAAATTGGGTATGCCCTTCACGCCTAACATTTGACTTTTTGAAGCTCACTGAGGGCAAAATAATAAGAGAGTTATTTATCTCTTATTAATAATTACTAAATGTCCCCCAAAACAAGCTTGTCCTGGGCTGTAAAATCAGCTGCTTTAAAATTAAATTTGTGAGTTTGACACATTTCAGACATCCTATACAGTCCATAAGTACATGGCCAAAGGGGCCATGTGGAGAACTGACGTCACTGCGCAGCACTACGAAAAGTGC